TCAGTGATCAATTTATCCTCTCAGTGCCATGCTTTTTCTTGAGGGGGGTATTCTTATTTATTAGTGAATTACTGAAGATGGTGCTGTTTAGGTGGGGGGGATCTGGCACTGAGTTTGGTTTTTGTTACCAGTGAGAACATTTAACTTTGTGACTATAGCAGTGGAGATTTACATCCTGCTCTTATGTTCTTCTAGTTTTTGATAGTTTTACCATTTTAATTTTTAATATTCAGCCTTCAGGAACATAATATAGATTTTTGAAGGGATGCATCTATACTTCCTGGTCTCTGCCTCCTAAGGAGTTTTATCACACAGATTCTTAACTGAATTTTTAAGTATCTTTTTCTTATAAGCCAAAGCTGAGGTCAGTAATCACTTGCACAGCTCATTGTCTATGAGTAGCTTTGAAAATGAGTGTCTCTCTGTTCATAAATCTGGGATGGAATAGTTGTAAATTACTGAAAATGACTCTTAAGCGGAGGTAGATGCTACTTATTTTTTTTTTTTGGACTGAAATCTACCTTCAGAAAGGAAATGTGCATTTCAGGATAGTATAATTCTGGTTATTTCATTGCATATATGAGTGATACTCAGGTCATTATTCCAGAGACAGTAAAACAACTCAGGGATTCTAGGTCTTGTGAGAAAAAAGTTAACTGTTTCACAGAACCGTGTGGGAGTTCTAAAGCTATTCTCTTTAACAAATGACATGATTTTCTGCTATGAATACAGTATAATTCTTAATGTCTAAATTTCAATAGTTCCTTATTTCATGGTTTTGGGCAAGAAAAGCACATTTTGCTCATATCAGATGTATATATTAGATGTATTAGGTATATCTAATAGATTAGATTCCTTTAATAACTCAGTTATGCCAATTTACTCCTTATTTCTATTAGTTTTTTAGAGTCTGTATATATAAGTGAGATCAAACAGCACTTGTTTTTCTCTGACTTATCTCACTTAGCATGACATCCTCAAGCGTCAACCATGTGGTTGCAGGATTTCCTTCTTTTTCTGTGGCAGTACAGTTGTGAGTATGCAGGATGCAAAACACAGAATTTATTCTTGTATTATACTTATTAAATCATTGTATTATCTTTCATACAAACAACCATGAACCTAGTTTTGTCCCACACTTTGTGTGGTGTGTGTATATGTGTGTATGATATATATACATGCACACATATACATATATATACTTGCATATATGTACACACATACATAATACATCTAAATTAATTTAAATTAGCCCTGGCTGATGTGGCTCAGTGGATTGAGTGCTGGCCTGCAAATCAAGGGGTCACCAGTTCAATTCCCAGTCAGGGCACATGCCTGGGTTGCGAGCCAGGTCCCCAGTGGGGAGCATGCAAGAGGCAACCACACATTGCCTTTCTCTTCTCTCCCTTCCCCTCTCTAAAAAAAATTTAAAAATCAGTAAAAAAAACCCAAAAAGCAAAAATTAAATTAATTAAACAAGAAGGCAAATAGGCTGAGGAGGCTCTAATGTCCTGGCAGCCTACATAAGAAAACAAAAATCAAGCCTGTAAATGCCTCAAGGTTATGAGATTGAACACTAAGGGCATCAAAGCGCAAGAAGCACACAAGGCTTGTTTCTAAAGCCAATTAATCATTCCATCATTCCTGGAGGTTTTATTTTTTAGTATTTTAGTATTTCTTTTAGGGCAAGTCTACTAGCAATAAATTCTAATTTCGAATTAGAATTATAAATTCAAATAAGTAGAAATCCTCTCAATTTCTACTTATTTGGGAATGCCTTATTTTATTCTTTGCTTCTGAAGGATAGTTTTGCTGAATATAGAACTCTTGGTTGACATTTTTTCCTTTTAGCATTTTGAATATTCTGCTCACTGCCTTTTGGACTGCATGATGTCCGAAACATTAGCTGTGGTCATTCTCTTGCTCCTGTCATGATTCTCTCTTGGTCTTTGCTTGTAGCAATTTGTGTGTCCATGTGTGGTGGATTCCTTTGGATTTATCCTACATGGAGTTTGTCGAGTTTTTTTGGTACGTAGATTAAATGTTTCTTTCATCAAATTTAGGAAGGTTTCGGCCATCATTTCTTCAGATATTACTTTTTCCTTTATCTCTCTCTTCCTTTGTAAAACTCCCAGAATGCATATGTTGGTACTGAGCAATTTTCTAATGCTCTGTTATTTTTATTCATTTTCTCATTTTTCTGTTTATTAGACTGAAAAATTTCAATGGACTTATCTTTAAGTTTGCCAACTTGCTTTTTTGCCAGTTTAAATCTAATATTGAGTCCCTCTAGCAAATGTTTCATATAATTATTATAATTTATAACTCAGAATTTTTACTTTGTTTTATTTTATAATTTATATCTCTGTTAATATTGGCGTTCTCTATTTCCCTTTAACACCCATTCTCTTACTTTTAATTTTTACACGTAGTTCATTTAGTTATTTGAACATATTTATAATATATGACTTAGAGTCTTTGTCTAGTTAGCTGAAGATCTTTATATCATGGGGGATGGTCGCTATTGACTTCTTTTCTGTAAATGGGCTACAGTTTTATATTTCTTTATATGTCTTGTAATTTTTGTTGAAAATTGGACTTTTGAAATAATATAAAATGGCAACTCTGGAAATCAGATTGTTCTCTTCCCAGGATTTTGTTGTTATTTTTGTTGTTTTGCTCTTTATTTGGTTAGTGACTCTTCTGAATTAATTCTGTCAAGTCTGAATTGTTTTTTATTTGTGGCAGGTCAAATATCTGCTTGGTTACCTTATGATTTCACAGAGTTTTCCTTAAATATCTTGAAACAATAAGCCCCCCTATGCCAGGGACTTTGTGTGTAGAGGCATGTCTTCAAGCTCTTTTACTTACAGTTTACTTATTTGCCATAGCCTTCATTTTCTCCTTTGACAGAGCCTCAAGTTCAACCAGACATGAGAGATTAGAATCTTTTCAGGTATTTCCTGGGCCTGTACATGTATGTGGTCTTTTTGGTCTATATAAGTACACTAAAGCTTTTCAGAGACCTATATGGACATATCATTTTGCAGATTTTCTTTTTAAGCTTTTTAGACAAATTTTTTTTTAAAAAGTTTATTGATTGATATTAGAGAGAGAATAAGGGTGGGCGGGGAGAGAGAGAATGAATCATCTATTTGTTGTTCCACTTATTTATGCATTCATTGGTTAACATGTATTTTTCTCTATAACATCTTTATTTAACTTGCCTAGGAATGGAATGATGCTTATGGTTGAAATGGAGCCTCTACTTCTGAGGCAGAATAATGCACCCCAAAGATGTCAGTGCCTTAACCCCTGGAATTTGTGAACATGTGTGCCTTACTGGGGGTGGAACGAGCATTCTTTGTGTATCAGGACAGTGCTTTAACCAACTTAGCTACCCAGCCTGGGTGGACAGCCTTTTGTTTGCTGCTACTATTATCACTGACTCTGGCTGCTGTGATGTTAAATGGCTGGAACATTAAGCAATTGCTGCTTATTCATTTTAGCAAACATCTAGAGGATAAGGCCTTTCCCACTGAGTGAGCTCTGCATGAGGTCAAATAAAAACAAGCCCTGTAAATGGGCCTTTTCCAGGGGTCCGCTGAACGTGTTAATTCGTGAGAATTCTCTGTGGGTGCGAAGATGTTTGCAGTGCTCCAAACCCACTCATCCCCACCCTACCCTACCCCAGGAGCTTCCAGGCTGCAGTTTCTAAGGTTCGTTCCCATTGTGAGGCTGCTAGTTTTCTCCATGTGGAACTAGAGAGTGGGGATGGGAATGGGGCAAGTTAAAATGCCACAATGCTTACTCCTGGAACAAAGATGCTGCTGATTTTCTGGAATACATTCTACACAGATTGTTGCACACCTTTGTCTAACTTTTAAAGTTCTGTAAAAGCTGACTTAGACAATTTTTTGTGGCTGTTCTCATTGCTTTTATGGACCAATGGGTTTTCAGAGATGCTTACAATTTTCAGAAGTGCTTCTTCACCATCCTTTAAAGAGGGTGGAGAGAAAGTCATGTTCAAATTCACTGTAAAGTTGAACCAATGAGCAGATGAACTCATGTGAAGCAGATTGCTGGCATAGGGTTGACTTCTGAAAAATAACATAAAGTAGTTTTGAATAAAAAGTGTTTAGAAGGCACTTGAGTTCTTGGACCATGAATAATGTAAGGATAATGATGTTTGAATGATGTTTGAGATTATTCTAATGGTTATGATAGGATGAAATAAAGCTGTATGAGAAGGGAGATAAATTCAGAGGCAGCAGCAATACCTACATGGGTGATGCTGAGGCCCAGCTTAACATGGCAGCTATGATACAGACATGCAAGGGTGAATCAATCCTGGGACTGGGTGATAGAGTGAGGAATAAGGGTATAGAGTAGTTTTGAAAGGCGTAAATGTTGCTGCTCTGCTTTGCAGATATGCTAGTAAAGTAATGATAATGTTAACAGGCAGACTGGGCCTGTCCACGTGGCACCTTGGTGAATGACCCAACAATTAATGCTGGAAGGAGCAGATCTTTATTTACAACGTTCCAAACTTGGAGGGGGGGCTCAGAGCACCTCAGCCCAGAGATCTCCTCTCCTAGAAGACCCAGAACCTCGCCTGCTCCCCAGCAGACTACCAGCCAAAAGCATCCCCCAAAGTTTCCCATGTCCTTATCTGTGCAGGATCTGGAATATGTTGCCATCAGCCTCCATATAATAGCCCAGAAAGGAATGCACCCAGTTATTCTGGATCATGGTGAAACTCAGGAAAGGCACAGGTCGTAAAAGTCCAGGTAAAATCCAGGTGCAGCAGGACAGGATCTTGCAAGGAAGTCCTTTGCAGCTCCAGAGTTAGCGAGAGCAGGCACGATCATAGCAGCAGCATCTCCTTTCTTACCTGTCCAGGCTGCGTGGCCTCCCTCCTCACTATAAACTACATAGCTACTTGTTTACTTCTCCCTTCCCACTGCTCTCTTTCAAACAACATGGCAAAAATCCCTTACTACAGGCAGCATGTCTCTTCTCTCACTACTACTCCCTGCATGGCCAAGAGCATGAATGGCTGTCACGCTTGAGTTTAAATCCCAGCCTGAATCTTCCTCCATAACTCCATTTCTGACTCCTTCCACAATTGGCTGCATCTGCCAGTGCTCTGCTATCTTCTGCTTTTCTCCAGCTGGCATTGCTACTCTGGGCAAGCATGGCCTCATGACTCTAGCTGCCTTCCTGCTTTCTGCCCAGGCTCAGCAAGCCCCTCCAGCTTCATTACCAATCAAAGTCATGCCCATCTCCCCATTCCCAGTGGGCAGACTCAGCTACTTAGCATAACTATAACATTGGCCAGCTGTTATTGATATGCAAAGTACCTCTCCACAGGTCCATATGCTTCCTCATCCCCAGCCATGGCTGGAATTTTTTTCTTTTTCCTATATTCCCCGGGAGTGGGGGGAGGGTGTAGTTGGGGGGCTTCTCAGCCTACACCCCATCCTGAACCTTGTTCCACACCTGTTACAATAATGAAGATGATGGAAGACATGTGGCAGATTTTTATTTCAATATTTTAGAGATTCCTTCATTTAACTAAGTCTCTTCTTAATCTCTTTGCAGACATGTGATCATAAAGATCAAATGAATAGGTGTTGGTTATTAAAACCAGGGTTTTATGCTATTGAAAGCTAAATAGCATCAAGAGGCCTCCTAAATTACATTAATTTACAAACAGAAGAACAGGAAAGGGTTTTTTTTTAAGTCTAAAAATATTCCAAAATGTTAATTATGTTAATTTCTAATATGTGATTCTCTGGAAAAGCAGATGTCAGAATGCTGAGGTTTTATATTCATGGGATTTAATTAATGTGTATGGCAATGGTGGGTTCACAGCCCTGAATGCGCATTAATAGAATGTGTATTAGCAGTGTATCTTTTATAAATAGAAGAGTCCTGTGTTCAAGCACTTCTTGTTTTTTAGAACAGTGTTTGGATTCATCATTATTTTTCAAACCATTTCCCTCCTTTATTTTTCCATAGTCCTTGAAGGAAGAAAGCAGTAAGTGAAAAATAAGGTGATTATCAATGAAATCACTTTAATCCACATAATTGAGAAATGTTCATTCCTATGCTGAGTCAAAGCCAGGTTTCTGGACTCTTCTTAACCTATGGACATTTCTCATCCAGTTGTTTACTTCTGTGTGTAATTCTAACACGGCTGAAACCGGAGACAACAGCCCACATTTCCATGTTACCATTGCATCACAGTCTTCAATATTTTAACATCGATGTTGGTGTTTTTCCAGATTTTTTAAAGCGTTGACTCACACATTTGTGTCATTTACCTTTATTTAGAAGCTAAAAGAACAAAACTCAATTATGGTATTATCTTACTTGTCTTTATGGATAGAGAAGTAAATGATTACAAAGGAGTCTTCTTATAATGAATGCTTTTGTTAAAATAGCACAGGGATGGGAAGGCTTTGGGGGGCCATTCAAGTTGTTTTCTGTATTCTGAAGGTTTAATTTTTCTTAGTCGTTATTTATTTATTCATCCCTTTAATTCATTGATTCAACCCATTAATATAAACAAATGATTTTTGAGAGTCTACTCTGTGCAAGAGTTGTACTGTATCAAGTTCCGTGAACATATGAAGAAGCACTATATGGAGCACGTATGCTCTGTGCAGACCGAATTTGGAAGGAGCTCACAATAAAAATATTAAGTATGAATACTGGCTCTGAAAAATCTAGTGTGTTGTGAGACACTGGATTATTAATACAGACTATTCTTCCTGTTTTTACATCAGAGAAGAAAGAAAACCATGTAGGCAAGTGTAGTCATTAAATGCTCCATTGGCTAAGTAGAATTCATGAGTGGTTGTGAAAGAAAAGGAGGATGGTTATATCCCTAGAAGAGCCTCCTGATGCCCTGAAGGGATGGAGAGAGCATGAGCAAAAGGACATTGGGAACTGGGGCTGCTGAGCACATTAGCCCTATGGGAGCAGAGTGTTGAGCGGTATTCTTGGGGAGGCATCAGAGTTTGAAAAAATAGGATAATAATGATAAAATCCATATTTTATTCAACAAATATTTATGGAATGATTATTATTATCCTCTAATACTACTATCATCTGAGGCTATAATGTATCCTTTTTAGGAATGGTATGAAGCTATAGATCTGACACTGGCCCACTCTCTAGGGGGGAGGCTCAGAAAGGGCTTGCCATTTCATACGGGCACCAAGCCTAGCCCGTAGATTACATATATGATAGATCTTTCATATCCATATCCATATTTATTATTTCCAAATGTGCATAAGATTCGCTATGATTAATAAAATAGTAATTTACCATTGCTTTTTTTTTGCTCATGCATTTTTTTTCAAGCAACAAATCCAAAACATGTAACTTCTGCATTGGAGCTTGGTAGCGAGTGCAGGGTTCTTTTTGGGGGTGTCATATTTTCACGTGGAAAGACACTAATTACTTTAACTGAGCTTCTTTCTGCTCGTACTCACTCCTCAGGGGAGCTAACTGATGTGTAAATTTGGAAGCAGGAACTTAGCATGTGTCACTAATACTCTTTATGCTCTTCTCATCTACAGGGAGTATGATCCTTAGATTTAGCAGTGAAGGACCTGCCCAGGTTCGGGGGACCTGATGCTAGTACTCTCCATTTAACCCTGGAATTAAGTCATAGGAGGTCTATATTACCGTGCATTAGAGAGCTACATTCTCTAGTATCTGCCCTATCACACACCTCACTGACATTTTCATCCATTTGCCTGACCTTTCGTTTTATTCATGGGCTGGCTACAATAGGAGCATTGAGTAGTTGCAACAGAGAGAATCAGGGATGGGAGCTTGGAAGCTAGTCAGTCTAGAGGTATGAGTCAATGAGGTTGGAACTAGTGTGATAATTATGGAAATAGAAAAGTAATACAGGGTCTAGGAATTATTGTGAAGTGCAAATTTTACAGAAGTTGATGACTGCTCCTGCACTAAGAGTAAGCATGATGGGACAGGAAGAAAGCAAAGTGTCTTCAGGAGTTAAAGCCTAGGTCGCTGGGAGCAGTTTATAAAGTGTTTGTTACTCTGTCGGCCTTGCCTCTGCCCCTTCAGGTCACACATTCACCAACATCAGGAATAAAGGCTCCAGGACTAGTTCCATTATCACCCAGGACCCCTCACTATTACTAGACCTACCAACACAGGACATTTGTCCGTGGAACTTCATCTATCCAGCATTTTGTTCTTATGAACTTGGTGATGCCCTTTGTCTTCCCAATACTGAAGTTACATCTCAGTATTTTTCTGATGGACACATGGTTTACCGCCTGGCTCCCTATACCTAGCTGGGAAGCCAGTTTATACAAATGTTTGAATATTCAACTTTTTAGTTTATTTATTTGTTCAGCATTAATCCATAGTTTGTTTTCTTCCTCTTTCCAATAAGGAATACGAGGGACTGGGCTCCTCAAATTATAAAGCATGTTATTTCAAATTCAGTTTATTTTAAAACATCACTTTATTTCAAATTCATATAAACAATCTTTGTGACTTTCTTTTTCTCCTCTTCTCATTGGTGCTTCCGAGACAACACACTTCTTCGTCCTTTAGCCTCAAGGTTGTTTCACATCGTGCAGTCTTCCTCTTTGTCCTCTTGTTATTGGTGAACTACATCTCATTTCTTTTGACTTCTTATATACATTATCTAGATCTTTTCTTGAGGATTTGCACTGAGCGGATTCCTGTTTAGTTTTGCTTTGCATTTGGCATATATTGTGTTGCATTGTGTAATTTACTAAGGAGATTATTTCTGGCATTTCACCATTCGGTTTCACCTGGGGTATGCAAATTCCTACACAATAGTATACTAGAAATAAAAATCAAAGTTCATTTATATTTGAAATGCTATCATCACTTTCCCCAGGTGGTATTTAGACGTGTAGCACTTTTCCCCTGAAAGTAACATGTATATATAGTTAAAAAAATCAAATAAAACAAAGGAGGATCTTGTCTCATTCCCCACTGTTGATCACCAAGGTTTTCATCATTCCTTTCCGAAACAGTGCATGCAAATTATTGCCGAACATATTTTCCTGTTGCACAGATGTGAACATCACATTATATATGGTTCCTCCCTTTGTTTGAGCTTCACCATATCAGTTCCTACACATGGATCTCATTTTGGGGGGAATGACTGAATAGTAATAATGGCTACATTTATTAGTTGGGAAATAGGTATAGTACACTAAGCACTTTGTACAATTTATTCCACTTTATTTCAAATTTACTTCATTAATTTTGTTATGTCCTTTACAACCAACGACAACCCTTTGAAATAGATACTATGAGTATTCTAATCCTGCAGATGAGGATACAGAGACTTAGCCAAGGCAACTTTGCCAAAATTCAGATCTAGGATTCTGAATCCGCACTCTTTACTGTGTTCTCCAAGTTCATTTCACCAGTCACTGCCATCAACATGGCCTGGGATGTTTGTAAAACACAGACCTTCAGGTTCCGTCTCAGAGATTCTGACTTAGTAAATATCTGGGGGAGAGTCACAGATCTCAATTGTTAACCAGTGACTCAAGTAGTTTTATGCAGTGTAAAATGTGTGGACTTCTGCATTATACTATTATATGTCACCTCCTCGTATGAATGTTGGTTGTTTATTAAACATTCTCTTAAGGATAAATCTGAAAAATAATGTATAGTCCTTTGCTATGAAAATCAATGCCCCAATACACATCCTTCTATGCACATTTTTATTTGCATTTGTGAGTAATATGGGAAAGATTTCTAAAAGTAGAATTCCTGGGTAAAAGAGTATGTGCACTTAAAATTTGGATACAATTTTGGAAATTTTATCAAGAACAGAGACAGTCCTCATTTCCTTGCTAGTCCCTGGTTAATTATTAGTTATTTTCCAAGGAGTAAAGATTTTAGAACACTGAAAGAAATTAGTCAAAAGCATTTTTCAGCCAGTTCATTTTATTTATCTTTTACCTTGTGCTAGTCTGCTAGGCTGCCTCAATAAAGTACCAGCAATCAGATGGTTTACAGCACACAAATTCATTGTCTCAACAGTTCTGGAGGTTTGAAGTCCAAAACTGAGGTGCATGCAGGGTTGCTTGTTTCTTCCTAAGCGCTGTGAGAAGGAATCTGTTCTGTGCCCTTGCCCTAA